AGGAGATAGAGAAGTGTATCCAGTGCCTTAAGGACATGGCAGACAACATTGACCTGACCCATAAGAACTGCACCATTGCCAACATGGCTGCAAACTCCACGAGCCTGGCGTCTGGCATCTTGACCATCCTTGGGCTGACCTTAGCACCGCTGACGGCAGGGGGGAGTTTGGCTCTCACGGCAACTGGGATTGGCTTAGGGGCAGCAGCAGCGGCTACCAGCATTTCTGTCAGCATATATGAGAACGTCAGCAATTCGAAGGAAAGGAACAAAGCCAACGACTTGCTGGTGGAATGCCAAAGCAACCTTAAAACACTGACCGACCCCGATGAAGTGGATTTCAGACCCATAATCTCCCCAAAGAGCGAGGCCATGGGCAACCATCTGACACACGTCCTTTCCACTGCTAGTAAAATTCCAGAGGTAGTCTACAAAAGCGTTAAGGGGATAAGAACCAACGTAAGAGCATTCAAAGTGGTGAAAGCTAACCCTGGTTTGAAGGCCTTAGCACAACGGCTCACCGCGGCTGGGAGGACAGCCCGGAACACAGCAAAGGGGACCAAGCAAGTGCAAAAAGCCTTAGCTGGGACCACTCTTGCCATGTCCAAAAGTGCGAGGGTGCTCGGTGCCACAGCCGCAGGAGTTTTTGTCGTGTTTGATGCCTACAGTCTCGTGAAAGACTCCATCCATTTAACTGAGGGGGCGAAGGCAGAGGCTGCAGCAGATATAAGAGAAAAAGCTAGCCAACTTGAAAAGGACCTTCAGAATCTCAGCGAGCTGTATGAGGAGCTGAAAGGCATGGTATATGAATAGATGAGACACAAGTTCCCATTTCCAGCACTGGGCCAGGAGAAGAACCAATTCACAAGGGGAGGGGAGATTGTGGTAGGAAGTCAAAGCCCCCAAAAGCTACACACGATGCCAACTAACAAGGAGATGCCAGCTCCACTTTGGCCAAAAGCATTAAGCAATCTGAACAGTTCAAAGAGATTGATACCGTAATTCACTCCCTCCTGCGTTTGGAATTCAGTGAAAGGATCAGGAGACGTCGTGCTACTGAACAACATTTTGTTAATTCAGAACCTGGGACACCATGAATCATCCTGCTAGGAATTTATCCTATTTTGCCTATGCTTAAGAGAAAGCAACAATATCCTGTAGGCATGTGTGAGAGATCTGCTCAGGAGTGAAATTACAAGAGCAGTAACTGCTTTTCAAATGAACTTGTAAAGCATTACACTTCTTCCTTTCTGATTTGAGTGTATTAGCTGCCTTGCCCACATCTGTAATGCTCACTGAAGCATTTTAATTCACCTCAGCAAATAGACAGAAATACCTGAGATATTTGTGCCTTGCCACCATTATTTTTATATTAGAGTAGCACTTACGTGCCTCAACGCTGGGGGTTGTACACACTCAGTGGAAACTGGGGCTGGGTGTGAAGAGAAGGCATGAGGGAGAGAAATTTCTCCAAAGTTCTGAAATTCACCCCCATCTGCAAGAGCATCTGGAGAAGGGGAGATTCCCTCAACTCCCTTCATTTGAAATTAAAGCCATGCCGTGGAGTACTAGCAGTTCTAGGCTAGCCAGCGTGCTTTAACCAACCACACAGCCATGAACTAGCATGGAGAGTAGCAAAGCAGTGTTTCCAGAAGGTGGAGAGTCAAACCTTTTACATTTCAGGGGAGAGGCACATCCTCACTCTAGCAGAGAAGAGGCTAATGAGTTCTGATGGGCTCAGCCAGCACTAACCAGGAACCAATATACGTGCCTCCATACCCTCGGGACCAGAGTACCAAGAGGGAGCTGAGAGGATGTACAGACAGTAACTTAGAGAAAAAGGAAGGCTGTATCAGCCCTTGACGGGAAAACAAGAGAAAGCCAGTGCCTTAGAGAATGCACCCTGTACAGCAGCTGTGACATTGCTCCCATGTCTTGCCTTTGAGACCAAGAGACCAGACCTGGCAAAAGAGGGGTTTATTGGTGTTTTATGCCGTGAAGAGTTAAGACTAAGCAGAGCTAGCTTGGCAGGCATATGAAACCCTCGCTGGGCACATGTATTTCCCATTAGACACATGCAGTTTAATTCCTGACTCATTATGAATGAATTAAAAATGTGTTTGAAAAAAATTAATCCAGCTGGAAAATAAAACTGTAGTCTGAAAGGAGCAGACATGGAAATTAAAAAACACTTTTTCAAAATTACTGATCATATAAATGGAGGAGCACTGAGGGCCTCGCGTGCATTTTGTTTCCAACTTAAAAATACACGTTGCTTTGGCAAAAACATACACAGAAACCCCCAAAAGCCAGCCCTGCCATTCAGAAAGCGCATCCTTATTTGTACCACAGTAGAACCCAGAGCCTTCAGAACAGGTTCAGCCGCCCACTGTACTAGCTAGGATCAATATGGCAACACACACCATTCATATGATGCCCATTCCCAGAACAGATTGCCCAGATGGTTGTGACATTGAGGTCACATGCCAAATCCAAGACTTTACTGCAAACTGTGGGAGTGGGAGAGCAGAGAGTTGGGGAGGATGACCCATGGCCTGACCTTCAACTCCTAGCAGGCTGAGGAGGGATCCAGGCAGAGTGTTGGTACATTCAGAATAGCTAAGTTATTGTGACATCAAAATCACAGGTGAAACCCAGGTTGCAAAGAGAGGGAGAATAACCTTTCCACTGACATGTGATGGGAGCTTGTTTCTGAACATTCACACACAAATTGAGCCAGAGTCAGCACATTCTACTAAACGGTTTCATTCCAAACACAGCATGTCCTGCTTTCCCTGCTTAGGCAGCTTCCCACACAGAGGGGCTAGTAATAGGCCCAAGCCAAAATCCCAGACCCAACCATCCATGCACTCCTGGGAAGGCCAGTTCCAAGTCTGCAGTTTGGGGAGGCCTCCAGCCCTTTAATGAGCTGAATTAAAACCCTGGATCCAAACTCCCAGAACGTTGTGCCTCAGGCCTGTAACAGCATTGGGCTCTTGTGTCTCTCTCATCCATTCCACAGTCAGACCTCCCAAGTCCCCCTCCTCCAAATAACCATGTCCCTTGTCATCTCCCTTTAGTCTCCTTAGACTGCCCAGAACAGACTCTGGTCTCTCTCTCAGAAGTTTTCACATCTTGTGTCTAGCATTTCCCCAGTCATGTATATCTGACCCTAACCAACTATCGTACTGAACTGAACTGGCAGACATTGCAGCTCTTCCTGCATATTCAAACATTACGTTCCTGCTGGTACCTCTATCGTAGTCCAAATTTCTTTCTAGCCACTGGCATGATCTGAAGCCATCTGGTGGCTACGCTCGAAAAGATGCATTAAGTGCAGATTCATTTCATGCTAAAACCAACCAAGATAATCTCTGCAACACTGACAGTTCCGTGCAGTGACAAAGCCAGGGATGTTAAAGATGGGTCCCGGTGACAGCGTAAGGGACTCACATGCTGGTACAAACGCGAGGCTCAAAAAACCCAGCAACGACAGCAGGTACCACTGCGCCTTTGTAGCTGAATCTTCCTCCGATTCAGCACATGTCCACACTACACACTGCACTGTCCCTGAGGGAGCAAGGCAGATCTTTTACAGCTCTGTAAGCAGAGCCGAGGATTAGAAGATGGCAGCCCCCTCACGTGTGAGCTGTACTTTGCAAGCCACGGGACAGTGTATCCAACCCTAGTGCAGGGCGTCGCTGAGTGCTGTGGATCACTGACTTGTAGGTATCTGGTACCACACTGGGTGAACCACACCCCAGATCACTGGGTGACTCACACCCCCGGAGGTGAATGTTTTAGTTGCTCCAAGCACTGGGTTCTTTCAGCTGTAGCCCTCGGTGAGCATCCATTCACTGTGATAACAGAGGATAACTAGTGCTGCAGAGGTAAGGTGCAAAGACCCTCAGCACAATTGCTTTAAAGTCACAGGCAAAAGAGATGATAAATGATCAGCCCAGCAGCTCCTAACTCAAGAGTCCCCAAGGCCAAGGACAGCCCAGTACTAGGTGATGAAGGAAAGAGTCTTGGTGTGACCTCTCTACCTGATGTACCCCTGGCAGCAGCTAGTGCTGATCCCTTGCCAGCAACAGGCTGTGATTTGATCCAGCCCCAGCTCTCAAGCTGCCTGGACTTCTTTCAACAGCCAGCTCCTCCACAGAGCCCTCAGCTCTCTTCTGAGCCAGGTCCCCCAGTGACCTCCTCCTTTCCCTCTCCTGTGCTGGACTCTAGAAGGATTAGAGAGCCGTCTGCTGGCTGAATGTTGAACTGGGTGGTAAGAGGTACCCAGGAGTTTCATGCTCATCCCTATATAAATCTTTTCTCTACAGACAGGCTTTCTGCATATGATGAAAGGCAATTTAATGCAGGATTGTTAACCAGAGCCCCAAGACCTTAATTTAACCTTGCAAAACACACACTAAAATCCCCATCGGATCTGCTTTCGGTTTTGTTGCCGGCACAGAGGCCCGAGGACAGCAACAGCGGGGTTCGTTGCCCGGTGTGCTTCGCGCCAATGAACACACCAGGGCGGAGAAGCAAACAAAGTTTGAGATCTCAAAGTGGTGCAAGGAGACAGGCAAGTCTCAGATCAAGCACACTAGCAAAAACAGTTTCTCTCTTCTTATACATTTTACGACTAAGCCCCCCCTTCCTCCCTCTATCCCCCCTCCTCTATCGCCCCCCTACCCATCCCTTTCCTCCTCCTCCTCCCCTCTCTACCGAAGGCATGTTTATACATTTAAGTAATTAAATCATTCTAGGGCTATAAGTCTAGTTTGTTAGTAACACTCCTCTAAACTGTTACCTGGTTCTGTTTGCCCTTGGTTTATTACCTCTTCTCCAGCTAGAAACATGCTAGCCTCATCATTATCGCTTGGTACCTGGTATGATGGGGGGGTTGTAATTGATAACTGGCTGTTTACACATTCCATGCATCTAGCTTTCAAGGTCTATTAGAGTTAAACATTGAAGAACCTTTGTTCACTAGGCCTAGTGATATCAACAGTTTCTATCTCATCAGTTTCCTCTTTCCACTTTCTTGTTAAAGCTTTGCTTTTTGTCCTCCCACAGCACAGCCTGGGTGTCAGTGGAGAGGGAAAGCCATACAAATCATGATACAGACAAACAAGTGGCAGCCCGAGAGGTAAGTGCAATGGGATTTCATTTGAACTATTGATTTAGATCTTCTATATTTATCAAGCAAGGTGCTACTGTTTTGCCTCCTGCTGGCAAACAGAACACACTGGAGTTGGAATTGTTAGTAAAACCTGAACTATTTACTATAGAAAACATACGATGGACTGTTTCTGATGGTCACAGCAACCAGATTCACTTTGCTTTCCTTCTCTTAAATGGTCGTCCTAATGCAGTGCTGTTGTTAATATTAACTTTACCTTCCTTACTACGATGTGCTCTTGAACCCAACCCACATCATTACCAGGACACACTTACAAGGCTCTGAACATGAGCTGTTAAATTAAATTACTGAGTCCAAGACAACTAGCCGCCCAGAGCACTTTAAATGACCAGTTTTTAAATTAAGGGAACAAAGAAATTACAGCTGAAAAAGATCTACCAAGGTAATTGAGTCCACTCCTCTCTCGTGCCCTACTAGCACAAGATTGTTCCTCATGATATATTTTCTAGTGCTTCATCTAGCATCTACAGATAAGAGTCCAAGCCAGAAATGTGATCGGTTTTATTTCTACTGCAAAGAAGATTCTGCAGAGCACTGAAGATTTATTAGTGTTCTGCCTTCTACACATTGAGAACAGCCTTATGTTTCAGTCAAATGGCATTTCAATCTGACATTTGCCAGATTAAGACTAAAATAACAAACTAATTGAAAGACAAGGTAACATCTTTTATTGGATCAACTTCCATTGGTGAAAAAGACAAGCTCTTCCTCAGGTCTTGGAAAGGCATTCAGGGTATGTTTACACTCAGAAACCTGCCCATTGGGGGGGGGGGAGGAGGGCAGCAGCTTCAGCAGATGTTACTGAGCCTGTTCAGTCTGTGTGAGCATGCTCAGTACAAACCAAGCAGCAAATCTGTGGGGGAGGGCACATCACCCCACAGGCCACCCCACACATCGCCTCTGTCTACGCTTAAAATGCTACAGTGGTGCAGTGGCACCATTGCAGCTGCGTCGCCATAGTGCTTCAGCGTAGACACTACCTACACTGACTGGAAGAGTTCGCCCATTGGCGTAGTTAATCCACCTTCCCAAGAGCAGGGCCAGCTCCAGGCACCAGCCCAGCAAGCAGGTGCTTGGGGCGGCCAAGGGGAAGGGGCGGCATGTTGGGCTGTTCGGTGGCAATTCAGCGGCGGGTCCCTCTCGGAGGGAAGCACCTGCCGCCGAATTCCCACCGAAGAAGAAAGTGGCGCGGTGGAGCTGCCACCGGAGTGCCGCCGATCACAATTGCGATCATGGGTTTGTTTGTTTGTTTGTTTG